TCCCACTGAATGGAGTATGTACAAGTATATGTACAAGCATATATATTTATGTATATATATATATATATATGTATTTTTATACGTGTTTTTTTTTGTGTGTCTGTGTTGAATATATCCCTATTTTATTTTATACTCGTGAGTGCAGCTTTGACTATTTTGGTCATGTGCAAGCTTTGTATTTCAATATTTCTTGGCCCTATAGAAGTTGTCACTGGATGAAAAATAGATCCTCTTCAGGACATATCAATTCTGACAGACAATTCCAGAGGACCTTGAAAACCATCCCACTCAGTAGCGCACTACACTTGTTGACACTCATACGTGTAGATACACTACACTAGACTAAACTTTCTTGTTTACATGCATACGTGTACACTACACCACACCACACTTTTATGTTTACATACTTGCGTGTAGATACACTACACCACACTACCCTTTCATGTGTAGATGCATACGTATAGGTACACTACACCACACTACACTTTCATGTGTACATGTATACATGCAGATACACTACACTATACTACACTACACTATCCACCTCTAGTGAATGACCTATCCACTCTTCCCTACTACTGTTGGAGGCCCGGTCTCTCCTCCCTAGACTATATGGTTTCAGTCCTCTAATGTACCCATACCGTTACTTAACTGTGCGTCCGTCTCACATCCACACAGTTATGTTTAAACCCGTAGGGGGCGGACTCCACCAGGCAGACGAATGGATCGATTTCCCGTCGCTGGTTACGTACTACCACGCAGTGAATCACTTGATACCAAAGTGGTCTGCGATGGTGTGAGACGTGTGTAATAAGAAGTGAATGTAGTGATCACAAGTAACAAATAGAACACCCGGAGTTCCGAACTTCCGACTCTCGAATCCCGATGTTTTTTAGTAATAAATATCGCATTGTAAATTCTCTTTCATACTGTGTCTTTTTTTAAATAGTAGAGTACATACTGTAGTCAGTAGCAAATACTGTGCAAATAAATAAGTATGTAGTCAGTGCTCAGTAATGTATGTACATAGTCTTATTTTTTTTAAATATATTTACGATTTATTACGTGCAGATGAGTTCGTACAAACACAGTCCTGACGATTTTTTAACCAATAAAATGTGTGTATAAAATTTCGTACAATTACATGGAGTATTTGAGGGTTCCGGCTTTCCGGACTTCCAGACGTCCCCCTTCCGGTAGGAAACTTTTCTGTTTTTCTTTTGTTTTAACAAAATCAAAACAAACCAAAAACCAAAAAGGTTATTTTTTTTTGGCATTTTGTTTTTTTAAGTAAATTATATATGTGCATAATAAAAAGGCAACTGACAAGGCATGCCGCATCGACATCAGGGATTCAGAATTACTATAAATCAGAATATATAATATAATATATATTTAAGCTGCTTTTGCCAACTTATTCAAATTTTCAACAAGAAATTGTCAACACAATGCTCATTCCAAAATTTCTTCAATTTGTCCCGTTTGCCAACTCCAAATTTTGATATGCGATCCCTTGTAAATTGTCCTCAAAATTCGATTTTCCACAATTTCCTCGATGAAATGAAAACGAAGCTCAGACAACGTTTTCACTTCGGGCGAAGAAATTGTCCGTCTCCTTCACGAGTGATATTCTGGCTTTTCGGGCGCGCAGTTCAGAAACTCAACCAATATCATATAAAAACACTAGAGAACACGTGTCAATATGAGGGTTGCATGGGAACCTGTGGGGAGTGTCTTACATTGATACAAAAGAAACGCCTCACACAATTGCTTTGTTTTGGGTGGCTCATATCTGTGTTCGGGGTGACACTAGCTATATTCTCCTCAATGTTGGTACTCGCTTGTACAGTATTCGATTGACCCCTATTTGATCAGCAGGACAAGCATCAGAGATACCACTGTCCACAGGAGACTTCATGCTTATTGGTAAAGATGGCGGTACGACAACGGGCATTGGATACGCAAGGATCGGGGCTTCGTCTATAGTTTGTGCCATTCTGATCTTCCTTGAACCCTAAAACTACAGTGACATGTGTGTGTTTTGAAGTGATATATACGCATAACAACTACACACATTAACACAATTGATTCAAAACTGAATGTAGATGAAGCCCGCGCACCAATGTGAACACAATGTGCACGGGTCAATGGTTGATCACTGATTATTCCAACCAATGGATAGGGCTAACTGATAAAAGGCAACAGAATCGCTCACAATTTCAACGGATTTACGCGTTTGTCAACTTGAAAAAAGGACTTTGGACTTTTTTATTCCTATTCTGAAAACGAAATTATCAGAAATTATGACCGAAATTCGAAAATCCATAATTTTTGCAGAATCAGGAAAGTTGGCGAATGAAGCCTTAAAAGCAATTTTAAAAAAAGACAAATACGCGAGGAAATTGTTTTCCCAGTTCCCAATTTCACACACAGGATTTTGCTGTGGCGATGAGTCATGAGTCACTTCTCACTTAAGTATTTTTTACAACAAGTGTGAGATATAGAAATTACTGTTTTAGATGTTTTCACTTCTGGATCCAATAAAATCCTCCGAACGTGGGTTCGCTTTTGATTACCTTTTAGAAAATAAATGAGGAAATTTTTAAATATAGAAGTCCGACCAATTACATTTGCAGAAGTCCTATTCCTCTGACAAAGGATCAAACAAAAATACAGAATCAGAAGGCTAAATACAAATTTTAAAATATTTATCCCATGTCCTTCAGTACCATATGTGAGATACTCACTTTTTTATATTTAGCTGTTTGTTGCAAAGACCTTTTTTAAAAAAGTGGCACAGAAAAAAAAAATATCGTTCTTTGGACAAATGAACGGGCAAAAAAGTCATGGGCAAAATATGTAGTTTGCACAAATTTGTACCAGAGTCCGTCTCCAAAAATGGACATCAGTCCCTTTTAATATATTATAGGAAATTTGCTTGTGATTTGTGAACGAAGACGAAATTAGGCAAAGCCGCCATGGAGTCCTCAGACTCTCAGAGAACACCATGTGAACAGTTATTTAAGCTCTCTACTCTCTATTTTCAAATTGAGTCTATTTACTTGTTTATTCAAATCAAATTAATGAGTGCAGTCACTGCAGTAAAAGCAATAGGAGCCGTAAACCAAAAAAAATGGCTTTAGGAGATGGGAGATTATTACTATAGAGGTTGGCCCGGAGATACCTTAAAAATCAATCACATTGACAGATAAGACAACTTAAATTCTTCATATTGACGAGTAATAAACGTACGCTTAATCTCGTCTCTATCGGACTATTGGTTCAAAAATTATGAATATATTTCATTTTGTACCAGAACTGGGTCAATCTAGCCACACGTAAGCGTTATCCAAGTCCATCCATACCTAACAGACCCTTCTGGCAATATAGCATGCCACTTTATTGGTCTATGGGGGGTTATATGTGCGCGTATAGCGAGTCTGGACGTGTATTTCGGGTACCTCATATTCTATCTAGTACCTTTTATACCAGTGAGGATATGAGGTACCCAAAATACAAGTCCAGGCTCGCTACACACGCACATATAACCCCCCATATACTATTAAAGTAGTATGCTATGATGCCAGAAAGGTCTGTTAGGTATGGATGGACTTGTATAACGCTGACGTGTGGCTAGATTGACCCAGTTCTGGTACGAGATTCATAACTTTTGAACCAATAGTCCGTTCGGGATGAGATTAATTGTATGTTTATTACTCGTCAATATGAAGGATTTGAGTTGTCTAACTATCAATGAGATTGATTTTTTAAGGCACCTCTGGGTCAACCTCTTTAGTAAAAATCTTCCATCTCCTAAAGCCAATTAGTTTTATTCACCACTCCTACAATTTTTTAGTATTTATTTTTATAAATACAAGTCAGAGTAGAGAGTTTACAATTGGGAGTATTTATTCTTTTGGTTTGTTTTTTCACCGGAGTGCTGTGACTTGTGAGTCTGTGAGGCTGTGACACAGTGACAGTCAACTGAAACAGTGAAAAGCTTACCTGGCCCTATTTCTGAGGTTGAGGTCCATATTGTCCTGTCCTGTTCTTAACAAAGTCATTTAAAAAATTAAAAATTTAAACCCCCCATCAACGAACAAGAACTTTTGAAAATATTTATCCCATAACGGGCATGATACAACACATTTATATTTTAGTAACCAATCGATTCTCACCTAATTTTTAAAATATGTATCATATGATCATTTCATTATTTTGACAATGTTTTTTGAAAACAAAAATACATACATACACACATATGTCCGAATGTTCTATTGTGTGTAAAAAAATATTTGAAATGTTTTTGTAAACAGATACACGTATTTATTAGTATGTACAAGTTCAGCTAACCCAGAGACGTTCACGACACACAACTTCCAATACTACTGAAAGAGTGTATTACGGAAGTTAAGCACCATGCCAGCACTTCGTAAAATAGCCAAGTATGGTATGTACGGCACTGGAGCTGTTGCTGTAGGAGCCTCAGTGGCATTGGGTATGGGACTGTTAAAGAAGGAATCGTCAGACGATGTCACAGAGGAGTTTGTAACTTCCAAAACGGTTACATCTCGTGAACAGGTGCGTGTTGGAATCAAAATTTGCTTTGATTGTTCATGTTTCTATGAATGTTCAGGATGCTATTGCTGTAAGTTGGTAGATTAAGACGAGATGTGTATAAAATTTCTTGTTTGCAAAGTGGTTTTTTAAACACTTGAAGGCGTATGATGTTTCATTGGTACCGATCAACAAGTGGATAAAATTCAGTAAATGTTCTACAATAGGAAAAGCGTGCGCCTGGATTTATACCAGCCATATTACTTCTTAAGTGATTTTTTATCGATATATACAATATCTAGGGTCACATATATCAGCAATACAATATTACAGTTCACGATCACTCTTTACGCTATATACTGATGTGTGCTTACATATATCGGCAATACAGTATTTTGGTTTACGTGTATCGCTGTATTTCTCTATGTGTGAATTGACTCGTAAGACTACTTATCTTCAACTTGCATGAATTGTCGGTTTGTGTCAACCAGTAAATGCGCAACCGAGTTTCCTTGATTAGTTATATCATATACAAATAGATGACGAGTTCTTATTCAATGTGCTATATGCATGAATAGTCTATATATCAATAAACATTTATATTTCTTATTTTGTGTCGTGGATAATTTTGATGATATATATATATATACACATATAAACATATATGTATTCATATGTACACGAATACATTAATATATATCTATATATATATATATACGTATATACGTATGTATATGTGTGTATGAGTTTATTTGCGTATATGTATAGAAACATATCATTGAATGATTACATCATCAAATGTTCATAGAATGTAAGAATGCATGTGTCCAAATTTCTTTTAGTATCAGCTGTTACATACATGTGTATAATTATAGAATCGCTAGTTGACCATCCCATATATTTGATATACAGATTACATGTTCATACAGTGCATTTTACGATTTAGGTTGGTGAGGATTAAAGAGTGCGCCCAATCGTAGTACCTATACATCCGACCTCATATACACGTTTCACAGACGTAATGCCGTATGGGTTATCGAGTTTAGTTGGCATACATAATTGATTATCGGCTATCTGTATGAATATGATTATGTTTATTATTGTGTGTACTCAGAGAGGATATAAAATTTGCCTACAAACTCATTGCTCGTGGTCTATAAGTATATCTCACTTCATGTTTGAGTATCAAGCAAATGGTAGAACATTCTCATTATACACAAATCCACATGCGTTATAATTATAGGAATACATATATTCTAACACGTACATACTCACATTGACAGAGCATCAAGCAATTGAAAGAGAGAAAGTTCGATGTTCTGGTTGTGGGTGGAGGTGCTACTGGATCTGGGTGTGCACTCGATGCAACTACACGTGGACTGAGCACGGCCTTGGTAGAGCGTGCGGATTTCGCGAGTGGTACATCTTCCAGGTAAAGTATTATGTGTTTAGGGTTTTAGCTTTTAACCTTTAGTGTGTGTTTTAGGGGTTTTTTTTTATCGTTAGTTTATGTTTTAGGGTTCCATGTTATTGTGTTGACATGGACCTGTGTAAGAAGTGGCATGTCTTTCAAGCAATTTATTATGTTTCAGGGTTTAATTTTGTCCTTTGTTTTTATTTTTTAGTGTGCCATTTTATTATGTTGACCTGCACTACTGTGGAGAGGACCATATCTTTCATACCAATTGTTCTGTTTCAGGGTTCAATTTTAGCTTTAATTTATGTTTAGGGTTTAATTCAGTCCTGTGGCCCACCGCCAATGACCTTGTCACCAATAAAACTCAAATATTTTCATATACAGTACATATACACCGCCTATGACTTGTCACCAATCAAACTCAAATATTTTCATATACAGTACCTAATTGAGCATGTATTATTCTATATCATGTCACCAATAAATTCCTACTATTCATGTCTGTCTCTGCAACTAGGTCGACCAAGTTGATCCATGGAGGTGTGCGATATCTGGAGAAGGCCGTGTTCCAGTTGGATCTGGGACAGTTGCAATTAGTCTTTGAGGCTCTTCACGAGCGAAAGTAAGTACGGGAAGCGAACGTTTATTAATTGTTAAAGTGTATGAGAATATTTATTAATTGTTATAATCTTACGACATAAGGGACCACCAGAGGTGTCCGAAAGCGATTGTTGCATTGTACAAAACAGACGCTACAGTTTCTATTTTAGATGGTTGCCAAGTTCTGCTGGAGCTGACGATAGTATGAGAACATTTATCAATTGTCAAAGAGTATGAGAAAAATTATTAATAAGTGTAGAAGTTGTATGAGAACATTTTAATGAGTGTTGTGTGAACCGAAAGTAAATACATTGCCCGCACAGTGTTATTCCTTTGTTTTCTGCTCAGGGCGATGGTTGGCCATGTTCATCTGGTACCATCGCCTTGCCATCATCACAGCGTGCTAGGATTGGCTTGTATATGTATATATGTATGTATGTGGACAGATACATATAGCTATATATATATATATATAACCATATATCCTTGCTTTGTCCCTTCACTACAGAGCCATGATTGATCATGCCCCTCACTTGGCCCATCCCTTGGCCATTATCACTCCCTGCTACAAGTGGTGGGAGGTACCGTACTTCTGGGCGGGTATGAAAGCATACGATTTTGTTGCCGGCACACAGGGTCTCTTCTGGTCCAGTCTTATGACCGCGCGAAGGTAGGTAGAATCATATACTATATAATCTGTCTATGTCTATGTATGTATGTACTCACGTGGACCATGTATACCCACACGTCAATATCATATATATATATATATAGACCTAGAAAACTCGCATAATGTCTAGGTTATTACCAAGCTACATTGTCTAAGGTATAAATTATCTAGGTATACATCCGCAACGGATGTTTCGCTTTAAATATAGGGCAACATGAACTTCCTTTTCAATGATGATACGCCAGCAACATCTATTGTCGATACATTGATCTACATACAAGTGCTAGCGCGACAACTATAGGGTGTCGGGTATTCGTGTCTTTTATATCCATCTCTATGATATATCTATATATTTTTTGTATATAAATATCGAAATACTTACTCTATCCATCCACGTACACAGTGCGAGCCGTGTGTTCCCCACTCTCTCGGATGTGCGTGATGGAGGTGACCGTCTGTGCGGTGCCATTGTGTACTACGACGGACAAATGGACGATGCGCGTATGAACCTTGCCATTGCTACCACGGCTGTCCGTGCAGGCGCCACTGTAGCCAACTACACAGAGGTTTTGAAGCTGGAGAAGGATGCCAATGGCAAGGTAATATACGTGTTTGTATCTATATCTATATGTATGGGTGGATTTACATCTCTTTTGTGGTATCCGGCGGACATTAGATCCATTCTCCTTCCTCTGTCTTTCCGCGTACGCGTACTTATAGATATATATATATTATCTCATTCTTGTTTGTGCTTGCATATATATCCTATTTTCCAATTATTTCTTCTCGTTCTTTCAATTGTAAACTATCATGCAAACTCATCACATATTTGTGCATACGTATATGCATCAATACTGTATCCGTTGTTGACACCTGTTTCCAGATTACCGGTGCTATTGCTAAAGATCTGGAGACTGGTGAGGAATTCCGCATCCAGGCCAAGTCCATCATCAACGCAGGTGAGTATTACAGTTTTGTGTATATATTTATAAAGTTATAGCTATCACTAACAAGTTACAATTATATATATTTTAAATGGCTAAATTTATCAAGTTGTGCGATTATAGTTATAATATCACTAATATAGTTGGCCTTGTGTACACTAGGATTCCTTTGCGTCCTGTACCGAACTTTCATATCTACTATATCCAAATAAACACTCAGCTCATCCGCCCAAGCGTCTCATCCTTGCTACTTTCTCATACTCACCCTGTCCCCCACTCTCACAGTCGGTGTATAGTTATAATTATATAGTTGGCCTTGTGTGATGTACCTACCTTCCATATTTATCGCCCGTGCTCTCTTCCCTTTTCCTTCCCTCACTCACAGCCGGTCCGTTCGTCGACGCTCTTCGTTCCATGGACACACCAGACGTCCCTAAAATTGTTGCCCCGAGTTCAGGAGTATGTTGTTTATTCGAGATAGTTTATACGTCTGTTAATTTCGCACATGTATTCATTCACACACCGACCGATGTGGGTTTCTAAAATCCTAGATGTCAAAAGTGTATATGTCAGGTATCTTGGCCTACACTCGCCCGCTAATACTTACTAATACTCCCGAATACATATTCATAGGCGCAGTCGCCCACTAATACACACTACACCCACACGCTAATACATACCAATACACACTAATACACTCGAATACCTATTCACAGGTACACGTGACCCTACCGGATTTCTACTCGCCCCAAGACATGGGACTGATTGTACCCAAGACTGAGGACGGCCGTGTGGTGTTCATGTTGCCATGGCAGGGACACACCATCGCCGGAACAACCGACACCGCCTGTGACTTGACCATGGAGCCCAAGGGTAGTGAGGAGGAGGTAGGTATTTACAGTAGTTTGGAGGTGGTAGGTAGTTGTAGTAGTTTGCAGGTGGTAGGTATTTGTAAAACACTGCTAATATGGGCAAAGATGGATTGAATGATTTGGTTTTATACAAACACGCATACACCCCTCCCTTCCTGACCCTCCCATCCCACAGGTTGCCTTCATCCTGAAAGCCATCAAGGACTACCTGACTGTGGATGTGCGTAAGGAGGATCTTCTGTCTGTGTGGAGTGGCATCCGTCCTCTAGCCAGCGACCCATCCGCTGGCAACACAGAGAACATCTCGCGTGACCATGTCGTATTTGCCGATGCCTCTGGTACGTTTTACCATTCTGCTGTATATGTATATATATATATATGCGCGTTTGGTTGTGTCGAGTATTCTTCTATGTATGTGGTAGTGGAAACATCTATACGTGTGTAAGTGGTTGTGGTATGTGTGTGAGTGTGCTGTTCCATCATCTCTCTATGTATACGTGTATGTAGTGATCCGGGAATAGACGTACGGCTTTACCATTGTTTATGTCTTCGATGTACAATTAGAACAATTTCAGATATTCACGACTGTACCTCCGCATTCCAATCCCCTTGCCTTGTATTACAATTGTCTTTTCTTGCATTCTACTAGCACTCTATATGAATCATTTCCGCCGGTGATCTATCTCGGCACATACTGTCCACAGTGTGTGATGAATCCACTCACGGTCGAGTACCGTGTGAATGAGATGGGCACTGAGATTAGCCTGTCATACGGATCCATTGCATACCTCGCTTGTCAATACCGTAATATGTCTGATATAAGAGCTGATGTATGCCTATCCCCGCTGTATCCGTGCCTATACCTTTGGTTATAATCGGTATGGTTGCCTGGCGACAACCCTTCACATACTTGATTTGAGCCACAGCTCGTCGTACGTGCGTGCTGTAGTATCGTATGCTGATCCTTCATATTGTTTCCATCCCTCTGCTGCCTACCCCATAGGTCTGGTGACTATCACCGGTGGAAAGTGGACCACATACCGTCTGATGGTATGCAATCGGGAATGTTCGGTGCATTGGCGCTGCTGTGTTGTGCATGTGTGTATGTAGTGCTCATATCATATGCTAGCATGTAATGCGAGCATTCTCTTATGTATGTATATATATATATATATTGACATACACCTTATACTCGATGTATATACCGAATTTGCGCGTTTCGGATCTCTACTTATTTGATGTTCTGTCTGGTGTCTGGTGTAAAGACACGGCACTGGGGTTGTCTAATTGCTGAATCGCTATCGATTTTGACCAAGGTCCTACCACAAATCACCATGGCAACCAACCGCGACACACTCTAATCGCAAGTTTACCTACCCAACTTCCACACAGGCTGAGGATGCAGTCAACAAAGCCATTGAGCAGTGCAATCTGGTCACACCCCGTGAGTGCCAAACCGCAAACATCAAACTCACTGGAGCCGTAGGATACAAACCCACTACTTTCACAGAGATCGCCCAGAGCTATACTGTACCACACAGACCCGGACATATTGGTATGTGTGCACGAGAATTTATATTTATATGTATGTATATATATATATATATATAGTAGTGTGTGTGCAGGAACTGTATATATACAGCACACAACATCCACAGAGAACGCACAAAGCAAACCGTTTTTACTATACATAAGTGTAGAAACACAGTCTTATGCCCACATCCGTACGGAAGGTGCACATGTATACTCGTGTACATGCACGTATGCACATAACATTCTACATTTACTATATTATGTTGACACGCACTTATTACATATCTCTGGACTTTTTTCGCTACAGACACACAGGTTGCAAAGCATCTAGCAACGGCATACGGTACCAAGTCCTTCGAGGTCACTAAGATTGCGGAAGATCGAAAGTTGGGACAACGCCTCGTCAGAGGCCACCCTTACATTGAGGCTGAGGTAGGTTTCGGTTTTAATTACAGTTGTGTAATTTCAATATGGGGCATTTGTACGATATGTATTGATATATATATATATTCGTAATAGCTTTATTTGTCTTCTCTCTTGTGCTCTGCATTGCTGTGCGAGATGGCTTCCTTTATTTGTGCATGACTGTTATAGTTCATTATAAAACTCACTAATCACACTCCAAACTCCCGGTTAATCGACCATTGTAGGTCGTATTCAGTGTCAAGGATGAAATGTGCCGCACTATCAGCGACTTCATCGCCAGACGCACGCGATTGGCGTTCCTGGATACTCGCGCTACGTCCATGGTATAGTCAGCAAACTATATATGAATCATTGTGCTTTTTTACGTGATTGTTGCTTTATTAATGTATGTGCATGTATGCACATACTTTGAGATATACAAAATACGTACATGTACATACATCAATATATACATGGTACGAATTTAAGCTAAATCAAAAAATACAAGTCCAATAACGCATATATTCTTCCTATAAATCAATCATAATGCTATAAGCTAATATATAATTCTGATATCGTTCTATTGGCTAATATTCAATTACGATATTGTCATATTGGCTAATATTTCTCGACCCAACTATTTTGTCCACAGACTATTGACCGAGTAGGTGAGTTGATGGCGGCAGAATTAGGATGGGACGATGCCAAGCTCAAGCAGGAGATTAGCAATGCGCGCTCTTTCTTGAAATCATTTCAACTGGAATAATTCGATACTTTGACTGTAGTATATACCCGGACTGTAGTATATCACATGTAAATCTCTAGAGAAACAGTGCTCAATTAAATAATCTGTTGCCCAATCGTGACCATTTTCGATTCAGACACCGTCCTACGCATAATATGCTAACCGCAAGTTTATAATGTTTAAAACCCCGTTCAGCTTGCCACATATAATCCCATAGGGTTGCTTGATTTATTTTTAGTCGGCGATATTATCAGCGTACTTCCGTGAATATTACAGAGCAGCTCCACTATAGCCGCCTCGTTGTACACATTGTATTTCGCTGTATTCTCCTTATACCTATCTGTATACTAAAAAGAGGCTCACCTACAACTTCCTTCGAAGTGCCACGATGGTACTCTTCAATGGATTTCATTATAGTCTCATTCTAAGCCTTCCTTTAATGGTTTTTTGTTCACTATACTTCCTTATGTACTACAATGGATTTCACTATAGTTCAATTATTAGTCTTCCATCTCTGCCTTGTCAATGGTTCCACTATACTTTCCTATGTATTACAATGAATTTCACTATAGTCTCATTCTAAGCCTTCCTTTAATGGTGCTTTGTTCACAATACTTTCCTATGTATTACAATGAATTTCACTATAGTCTCATTCTAAGCCTTCCTTTAATGGTGCTTTGTTCACTATACTTTCCTATGTAATAGAATGCTAAGCTTTATAAATATATATATATGTACATATATTCATTTTTTATAAAAAATTAGATATATATACATATATTATATCTATATTTAGATATA